TCTCCATGAGAGGTCCGTGTTCAATTCCTAGACCAAGCTAAACAGACCATGGTGACACATGCATGCGGTCCTAGCTAACTGTGAGTCTGGGGCAAGAAGATCACAGCATAGCAAGACTCTGTCCAAAAAAAAAAAAAAGAGAGAACAGAAAAGAAAAAAACCTACCTTTCTTTCTCTCCTTCCGTTCTCCCTACCACACGTATTCTCTAAATAAAAAAAATAAACTGGGGGGTCAGCAGGTGGAGAGGTGGTTAAGGTGCTGAATTCCCACATTGCTAACCACAGTTCAATTCCCAGACCTGGAGGCTTGAAAATCATTCCAGGGGCTGGCAGGTGTCACGGTGATTAGGGTGGCTATACTCCCATATGGCTGACCACGGTTTGAGTCCCAGACCTGGCAGCTTGCTTTCTCACTTTCCTTCTCTATCTCTGTCTCTCTCTGGTTAACTTAAAATATATAAATTAATAAAATAATGACAGTGAATAAAATTAAATAAAAAATAATTCTTAAAAAAAAAAAAAAAAGAAAGAAAGAAAATCATGCCAGACACATGCCCAAAATCCCAAAAGGAGAAGAGATTCCCATGGGGAATGAGGTGGCCATTCCCCACAGGGGGTGATTTCTCACTTTCTATCTCTCTCCAGCAAGTCTATGTGCCCTATGGCAAAAAAACCTAAAACCAAAAAACTCCCAAACAAATAAATAGACAGCATAAAATAAATAGAAGATTCTTTGTATTTTGTAGGCTGAATTAATTCAGTTCAGTATTTTTAAGCCCTTCGCTCCATTTAATAAAGCATCAGGCTTTGTGGCTGTGATATATGTGACAAAAGCTGCAGGGTTTCTCTTACGAGGAAGATGGTTCTGACATGATTTTGAGAAACAAATGACATAATACACTACACATGCAGAGAAACTGCACAAGCCCAGAGCAGTTTTTGGGCAGTGTTAGCTCTTGGACAGTTGGATGGCTGATTTAATTGTGAAATTATCAACCTTTCGTTAAACAGAAATGCTTGCCAGAGGACAAACACTTCGTTCCAAATGTTTTGGGTGTTGTATTTTTACCAAACAACACCCAGCATCACAATGTGACACTAACCTTAAGAGTTTGGGATCTCATATTTAAACCCATATCTTTGGCCACAACTTTAAAAAAAAAGAAAAAAAGAAAAAAGAAAAAAAATAATAATAACTATGGTTTCTTGAAAGATTTCACAATTGGCTATTCAGCTGTGATTTCTTTTTCTTTCTTCCTCTTAATTTCAGAATATGGCTTTCCAAGGGAATCTCTGGAAATGAAAAAGTCATGGGGACCAGCAGGTGGTGTGGTGGTTAAAGCGTTGGACATTCCCATATGGCCAACCATGGTTCAAGTCCTGAAACTGGTGGCTTGCTTTCTCACTTTCTCTCTCTCTCTGTCTCGTCAAAATAAAATAAGTAAATGAATAAATAAAAATTAAAAATTTTAAAAATGACAAGTTTTTTTTTAAAAAAGTTGTCATGCAATACTTCTTTCCTGTTTTTCCACCTTGAAACAATGTTTCTTAATAAAGAATCAAGACACAGGGGCCAGCAGGTGGTACACTGCTTAAGGCACTGGACTCCCACATGGCCAACCAAGGTTCAAATCCTGGACCCAGCAATTTGAAAATCACGCTAGGTTTGTGTACATGTAATCCCAGGAGGAGAATGGAGATGGGATTATGGGCTGGCATTCCCCCTGGGGTGTGATTTCTTACTTCCCCTCTCACTGTCTCTCCCCTGTGAGTGCACGCACCCTGCGGCAAAAACCTTAGAAGAAAAAAATACACAGACCCAAACACAAATGGATATGCATTCATTAATTCTCTTATCCATTCACTGTTTTGAAACAATTCAACTAGGCTAGAGATATGTAATAAATTTGAAAGACAGACGGCTGCATGACTTCTCCTTTCTGTTAACAATTTGAAAATTGTGCTGTATGGCATATAGATACTTCTTAAAATTGGAGATGACAAACTCAGAAAGTTTATTTTATACTTTTTTTTTCTAGTTTTTGCTATATGGCACGTGCACTCACCAGAGACAGAGGGAGAGACAGACAGACAGGGAAAGTGAGAAATCAGCCCCAAGGGATGATAGCCACTCTGCGAACCCCTCCCCTCTATTCTCCTCCCCGGATTCTAAGCGGATTCTAGGCGGGCACTGTGCTCACAAGCGCCTGGGGTCTGTGCTGTCAGTCATGAGGGATCCATCTGCCCTAACCTCCCTGCCACCCACTGGCCTTCAAAAAGTTTATTTTAGGGACCAGCAGATGGCATAATGGTTACAGTGCTGACTCCCACATGGCCAACTGAGCTTCAAGACCAGGATCCAGTGACTTGAAACTCAAGCTGGGCATGTGTGCCTGTGTGCCCAATATCCTGAGGGGAGAATGGAGGTGAAGGAATTGCGGAGTGGCCATCCCCCAAGGGGGCGGGGGTGACTTCTCACTGTCTCTGTCTCCCCCAGGAGCACATGCACCTTACAGCAAAAATTTCTCTTTAAAAAAAAAAGCTTATTGTAATGGAACAATCAACATAATCTAAATTGGCTTGCAGAAATATAAATGTTTCATGTGAAAGACAGGTTTTTAAAAGAGCTCACTAGTCAGTAACTGAGGGGGAAATGAGGCTGTTCTGATTTATCTCATACTGATACAGGGAGTGACAAAAAGACTACAGAATGAATTCACGCTCCCTCCACAAACGTGTTCCCCTAAAACTTCCATGACAGTCTTGAAACTAGTCACTACTGAACTGGAACTACAGTGTGTCCTGGGATTCAGGTCAACATTTACCCTTTAAAGCCATGTGACCCTAATTTCTAAAGTAGCTACTGAAACTATGATAGCTGCTGGTCAAAAGAACTGTAACCAAAACCTTGCCCCACCTTTCTCAATAACTCAAATATCTTTCAAGTGTTGTCATTTAAAAGTTCAGGGTTTTACTATGCCCCATCTGCCTCAAACGTACAGACTGAGAGAAATATTGGTTCAAAAGAAATACGTAAAATTACTGTCATAATTCAAACTGTGAATCAAATGAAGAGCTTCAAGACCTAAGTCCTTAAGCTGGATTAGTTTCTTGGAAGGAAAGCATAAGACTGAATTTGGCATATCAGGATAACTCCCCACAGATACTCCCGACTATCTGGTTTTCACAGCTCCATCTTTTGGAAATGACAAATCGAAGTGTGAACATTCTGTTGGCCAAAGCTACAGCGATGTTAGCCTACTGGATATCCGCATCACTTTCCTACACTGGAAAATACAGCATGTTTTACGCACTTCCCACAGAATATGAATAGAAAAGACATGCTCACTATTACTGCAGACCCATTAGCAAGTTGTGTCTTCATCCAAAATACAAACCCAAATGAAAATGTTCTGGTCTTTCCAATAAAACACTTTCTAAAAGGCCTGTTCTTTATCCACTGGTGCTATTTTTTTTTTCTTTTTCTTTTCAGGAACTAAGAACAATACAGACCCAGGTGTCTTATAAACAGCAGCAAAAACAAAGCTACGTTTTTCTGGCTCTGAAACCTGTCATCTGGCTAGAAAGACAGAGCTTCCCATCTACAAAGTCCTCCTTCGCCACATTTCCTGACTTGGGCTTACTGGATGTAATCATGATGGCTTCTTTCTTTCTCCACCTCCTGGAAATGCCCTTTTCTTCAGGGGCCTGGAATGCAGATTTTGACTCACAATGAAGTCCACTCCCATTTCCTCCAGCCTGGCAACAGGAGGATCCTCGCTGCTCAGGAGGAACAGTGGAAAGGAGGGAAACTTGACTCAGGAGTCTCAACCCAAACATTCTTTTTTCCCTCTCAGATAAAAAGAAGAAAAGAAAGAAAACCTAAAGCGCCGATAAGCACAGGGTTCGGAGTCAGTAGATGGAGTTAAAAATGTTTTCTTAGAAAGTCAATCACACCCACTGAGTGACCTGGGTACACAAAAAATCCAAGTGAAAAAGGCTTTGAAAGAGGAACAAAAATCAGAATTAGATTCTTCCACTTCTTGAAATGTTTTCCTCCCGACAGACAGTGGCTTTCTTTAAATACTAAACACAGACTTTTAAATCAAGATCTCTTGTCTACTGCTCTATGCAGTTCTTCTCGAAAGCAAGAGTTTGTTTTGGTCCCACATGTTGAAAAATTTCACCTCCCTATAATTAAGAGTCTGTATGCCACACCTCCTACCACATTTCCCTGTTAAAACTCCCTTCTCTAAAAATTACCCCCAAAACACAACTACCAGCCGGCTCCTCTTCTCAGATTCTCTGCAGCCTAACCCCTTCAGATCGCCAAGTTGGCAACCAAAGGGATTCTGGGTTAAAAGATAAGCATAAATAATAGCTGGTGTTTTAGAAATGTGCCCCATGAGACCAGTTTTCCCACGAGCTCATAATTAATACACTCCAAATAAATCTCTCACATCCCGATTAGAATGTATAAAAAGACATTTTAAACTGTTAAAAATAAGGCTGCAATTCCTCACTTAATATATAATAGGCCACAGGAGGAACTAAAGAAAAACTTAAAACTTTTTTTCCACTCTCAAAGAACATAATATTTGAGTAGATGACTCATAAAAATGTGTTGGTGGCATTTTTAAATATCCCCCACCCACTCCCCAAAATTCACTTCTCTAACTCAGGTTCGCAAGTATTACTGGGAGACATGGGTGTCAGGGTCTGCTTCGGGGTCTACACAGACGACACCTTGCATGCCCAGTCCTGGAGGTGTTCTTCACATGGTGTTACGCCAGTTCGGAGCCCCAGGAGTTAAGCCCTGCCCCCCATCTCCACCCCCCACCACCACACGCACACCCCAAAAGTGTCCGATCCCACTGGGAAACAAGAGTGAGTTGTTAAAGGAAACCGACCCGGGAAGAGGAGGAGCAGCTGCAACACCCAGCTGCAACCACACAACGGTGCCACTTCCCTCCGGTCTGAGAGGATCTGAACGCCCTTACCTGGGAGTGGAGAGCCGCCCGCAGGAGTTCCAAAAGTTGTGGCTCGCCTAGGTCGGAGTCGGGAACCCAGCGCTCCGGCCCCGCCGCGGGCTCGCAGGACACGCGTCCCCTCCCGTCCCCTCCCAGCCGGCCTGCCCTACACCATGGCAGGAATCCGGGCAGGCACCGAGCTGCGAGCTGACATCACTCCCAGCCCCAGGTACCTCCCACTCCCACGGCCGCCTTCTCTCCTCCTCCCTGCGGGAATCAGCCAAAGAGCGTCCGCTCGGGGGCGGGGCCGGCCGCGCCTGCGCCCCCGCTGATTGGGCCCGGGGACAGTCACTCAGATCAACTAATTTTATACATTCCTCGCGGAGCCAGACCCAGGCTGGAAGTGGGTGTTGATGAAAAAAAAAAAAAAAAATGCTGTTTTTCCTGCTATCCCGAAGACAGGAAGATAATGAGATGGGGCAGAACCTGGCGGGTCGAGCTTTAAACTTTTCTTGGCGTATTTATTGTACTATATCCCAGATCAGAAATGAAACTAAGTCCGCCAAGCCCCCTTTTTAAGGAAAAACAATTGCCTCTGTGTCACGGACAAGTGGGAACCCGGCAGCTCGTGGTGCCGCAAATGGCTAGCTGGAAGTCATGCCAATAAAGGGAAAGCGAGCTCCCCGCCTGCCCTTCTCCGGAGACTGCCGGGTGTTCTAGACCGGGACGCACAACTTCAAAAGCACTTGAGAAAGGTTAGGAAGAGAATCCCAGAAACGGCAACTCAGTTCTGAATTGTTAACTGGTGATGTTGCTATCAGCCATGTGGCCGCTTTTGCTTTTAATCGATGAAAATCACACCACACAACTGCCCAGCAAAATAAAGTGGAATCTCCAGAGCAAGAAAAATGACTATTTACTTCTTTAAGGACCTTCAAGTTGCTGTTCTACTGTACAGCTGAAAAAAAAAAAGGGGAGGGAGGAGGAGAAGGGGGGGTACCCTTACAATTGAGTTCAACAAACCACATGAGAATAATTACTGTTGAATGGAACAATTGCAGTGGCTGAGCTATCAATTAAGAATGAACTAACATTTACTCCTGATGGATCCCAGGCCGGATAATCCCCTTGGCTGACAGAACAGAAAGATTCTCAGGAGAAGGTTCTTTTAATTTACCTGATACCTGATCCAAGGCAGAACTGAATGGCAAAAGTGGCTTATAAGATATAGGAATATAGGTGGCATGTTATCCATCATCTTCTAGAAGTACAATAAATAATTGACTTTCTGTTGGTCTTTATTGTTTGTTTGTTTGTTTTTGTTTTTTTTTATGATATGTCACATATTTCACCATTTCTGCCAAAACTTGTAGAGGGGTGTATAGAGTCCAGCCTTGTCTGATTTAATCCTTACTACCATCCTGTAAATCAGGTGCTCTCAGCCCTATCGTAACAGAAGGAACCAAAGCCTCAGGAGGGTTATGCAAACTAAATTGCTCTAGAACATCCAGAAATGGGGCCGAAACCAGTCTGTGTGTCTCCAATGTCATTTTTTCTTGTCTAATCTACACTCTAATCTCCAACACTGCACTGCAACTAAAGCCCAGACTCATGCCATTACTCTCACAGGCCTCCCTTGTATTATTCCCCTTCCGTTACCGTCAGACCTGTACTACTCCAAACTCCGCGCCTGTATTTCGGACTCCATGTTCCTCCAGCTTGAATTCTTCCTCTGGGTCACTACCAGATGCCTTTTCTAAAACCATTTTGGTTTTGTCACCAACATCTTCTCTGGCAAGTCTTAGCCAGCCAAGTCGAACCCTCCCTGTCCTGGCTTCTAGTTTCCTTTCCCACCTTATCTCCCCTGTACTCCTGGGAAGCCATCTGCTGAAGTCAAACAGGTCTGCTCACAGATCCCAGCGTGGTCCTCACCTGTCTGGCTACCTGGAATCCTCACTCTTTTGTGTTGAAGGCTCGCCCACCTCTCAAAGCCTAATTAAACCAAAGTCCTTGTCCTCTAGCAAAACAGCTGTGTGCTACAGAAAAGGGGTTTAGGGTCCTTTGCCCAGTTTGGCCACTTACATGCGGGATAACTTTGTGAAAGTCGATAAAGTATCCATCTGAAACTTCAGTTACCTCCTTTCTAAAATGGGGCTGAGAATATCTACATCAAAAGTATTCTAAGGATTGTGCCGATGTGTAAACATGTGGTTCATGTCCAGTCAGACACAGTTTCTGCCTTCCCCAACTCTGAAGAACAAGTGCCATACTTAATACTCTTTGGATTCCTTCCACCCATATCAAAGAGAAAGCTAAACTATATACAGGGCTCCAGAATATGGATCACTTCTATCCCCTTCCATTCCTTAAATACACTCTCACTCCAAATAATCTCTCATCCAAAACTTCAACCTCCTTTATTACTTTTTTCCCCTTCTCTCTTTCTTTATGTTTTGACCAGACCGCTTCCCTCACCCTATTCATGCGTTCACCATTCACTCAACAGTCCTTAACCCCCTCAGATATCTCCCAGACCAACCCCTTAACCTCTCTTAGGTCTCTACACCCTTCCTGCCCCCTCAGTCAGAGACGCCTTTGTCAGTGCCTGTTGCCTCCTCTGCTCCCAAGATGCCTTCAAACAGCGGCTGGTGGCTCCAGCCATTCCTCCAGCCCTCACTGTGGGATGGCTGCATCCAAGCTCATGTTCTTCCAAAACCACAGCCAGCAGGGGGAGATGGAGGAGGGAATGTCCCACCCCCGCAGGGATGGCAGGATAGAATAACAGGAAGTTGCCTCCCATCCCTCTGCAGCTGGAGTGATAACAGCTGCCATCAGAGCCCAGAAAACAAAAGATTCCAGAGGAAAACTGAAAATGGGCCAGGTCTGGAACAGTAGAGTTCAAACTGGGGGGGAGAGGGGTGTCACACGGAGTGGGTGACAGAATAGGTGCAGAGGGAACCAATGGGTGACTGCAGTCTCCTTCTCTTCTCCTTGTAACCAGAGTTACACGTCTATCTGTTCTACATTTTGTTTTCTCCATAATACTTCACTTTGAAAAGAGAGCCTGACACTCAAGAACACACTGTAACTGCTGGCCTTGGGCATCTTAGAAAATGCCAAAGAATCAGGACATTGTAGTAGAAGCAAAACAGGATGCCAGATGAGCAAGTCCCAGAACTTACCCACTGTCCCTATATCTTAGCTGGCTTACTGGAAATGTCCATTTAGAACTCCTGTGATTTCAACACTAATTTGCTCTGTAGACCTAGCTAGCTAGCTATCCTCTACCTAGTTAGTCTATGATCAGCCTTACCTTTGGTACCCATGAATTTCTGCAGATATCACCAGGTGGTGTGGAGGGTGTGCAGAGACATTGCAAAAGCAGGAGAAAACCTTTGGAGGATGGCAAAAGTAGAACTAAAAGGACCCTAAAGGTCATCTCATGCAACCACCTATACTGCATGCAAGAACTCTTCTTTGCATTTGTGACAAGTAGCCTCCAGCTCCTGCTGGAGTTCACCTGATAACAAGGAGCACACAAGCTAGGAAGCAGCCCCTCATTAAGGATCTTTCTCCAGTTAAGCCAGATCTTGCTTTTCCAACTATTTTCCCCAAAGTCCTCCATCTTTTAATCCTTAAGACCATAGTGCAAGGTGAAAGTTCTTAGCGTCATTTTAACAAGGAAATAAAGACTCAACAAGGTCACAAAAGTATTGGGTTGTTGGAAAAGTCATGACATCTTTTTGTTGTGGGATAGCTTCTGCAATTATATCCAGACTCTTAATGTTTCAGATAAAAAAATTAAATGAAACACGCAAATCATATAAGGAAAAGGTAGTTTATTAAGTGAAAGCACACCCCTGAGAGGTAGGAGCAGGCCTGATCGGACAGAGAAAGAGTGGCTCAAAAGGCCCCAGCAGTGGGACCAGCAATTAGCATAATGGCTATGTCGACCGCAGTTCGAGTCCTGGACCCAGCGGCTTAAACTCACGCTGGGCGTGTGTGCGTGCATGCCCAAGACCCCGAGAGGAGAATGGAGGAGAAGGGATTGCGGCATGGCCATCCCCCCTGGGGGGTGATTTCTCGCTCTCTGTCTCTCTCTGTCTGTCTTGCGAGCGCACATGCCCTATAGCAAAAACCTCTCCCCTCCCCCCAAAAAAAGGGTCCCAGCAGTTGCATTCTGCTAGATTTATATATATATTATATATATGTGTATATATTATATATATAATATATACTATATTTTATATATATACATAATATATATATAAAGATTTATTCAATTTTATTTATTCATTCATTTATTTTAATTTGATGAGAGAGAGAAAGAAGAGGGAAAGTGGGAAAGCAAGACACCAGATCCAGGACTTGAACCTTGGTGGACCATGTGGGAGTGTCCAGTACCTTAACCACCACATCACCTGCTGGTCCCTCAGGTTTATGCTTTTAACCTAGGTGGTGTGGGTTGATTATTGGTTGGGCCCACTGATCATTTTTATCTTATTGGCTCTATCAAATGTGGCCCACTAGCTTCTCATAGGCTATTTCAAATGTGGCCAGGCCCACTGATTTATCTCATTGGCTATATCAAATGTTGCTTAATCAGGTAGACATCCCCCAGTAATCTCCTGCTTACATTTCCTAGGGCAGCAAATTTTCTGCCCCGATCAGACCTTTCTATCTAGCCACCTGGAAAGGCACTCCAGGCCCCTTACCTGCTTCCACTTGCTAGCTTTCTCCTCCTCATTTTGCCCAAGTGGCATGATCCCCATACATCTTTTGGGGGAGCTGAGGGTGGATAGTCTGTCTTTTGTAATTGCTTCATGCTGGAAAGGGGCATTGACCTACCTATTGGGATCAGAGAACTCTTGCCCTATCTAAGCTAGGTGATTTTCAAATATTGAGAATCATTACTTAACCCCACTTTGACTATGCTTTCTGTCTCTGTTTTATACACACACACACACACACACACATGCATATATACTTATGTATTTATGTATTCAGGGTATCTCCTGCTTTATGGAATCATATCAGGTAAGTACCTCTGACCAATCACACTGAAAACTGATCTGCTAGTTACATAGGAAACTATTTAATAAAATAGTATCATATTAAAAGCACATGAAATTCTTGGGACCAGCAGTTGGCATAATGGCTATGTCACCGGACTCGCATGTAGTAACTGTGGTTCAAGAAATCACCCTCTTCCCTCAGGGGAGATGGCCATGCTGCA